TCTTTTGATTGATTGATTGATTGATTGATTGATTGATTGATTGATTGACTGTGGGGGGGTCGCCTCCTCCCCGCGAACACACACACACACACACATACACACACACACACACACACACACACACACACATACACACACACAAACGGGCACATTTTTTTTTCCTTTTCTTCTTTTCTTTTGATTGATTGATTGATTGATTGATGATGGATTGATTGACTGATTGATGGATTGATTGATTGATGGATTGATTGATTGTGGGGGGGTAGCCCCCCCCTCGCGAACACACATACACACACACACACACACACACACACACACACACACACACACAGACGGGCGCGACTTTTTTTGTTTTTTTCTTTTCTTTTGATTGATTGATTGATTTGCAGTGGGGGGGTCGCTTCCCTCCCACGAAAACACACACACACACACACATACACACACACACACACACACACACACACACATACACACACACACACACACACATAAAAAAAAAAAAAAAGGCGCACGAGCTTTTCTTTTCTTTTTGGATTGATTGATTGATTGATTTGCAGTGGGGGGGTCGCCTCCCCCCCGCGAACACACACACACACACACACACACACACATACACACAGACACACATACAAACAAACATTGTCAAAACCGAGTGTGACAATGTATATTTCCATGTTCTAGCGGTAAATTCATTCAATTTTGTTTTTTTTTTCCTCTTTCTTTGACTACGAACTTTTTTTTATTTTTTTTTAAAAAATACTAAGGGGCCCCTCGAGACCCCCCCTGCCATCCTTGGGGGTCGACACCCCCCCTTCCCCCCCATATCGGGCCTTGGCACGTTCGGACGGAGACCGTCCGTACGCCCGTACGCCCGTCCGTCCGTCCGTACTCACTGGCCGTACGGAGATCGTACGGGGGACGACACTGCAATCCACATGATCGTAAGTTTTTTCAAAATCTATAAATATGATGACCGGCATTGGCAACATTATGTTTAGATTGACGAGAGAGCTTAACTAGCTCATTTATTAGAAAAATATTATCCTGAATATTTCTTCCTTGGATAAAGTCAGTTTGGGATGGATGAATTATGTCAGCTATGTATTTATTTAAACGATTAGTCAAAGTTTTAAAGATGAGTTTGCATACGACGGTGAGGAGTGTGAAGTGCCGATAATTACGAATATTGCATTTATCACCCTTTTTGTACAACAATGTTAGGATTCTCTGCCCCACAATCTCTCCCATATGTCCAAATACCCAAACAGCGTGATAGAAGTCTCATAGGGATTTTTAAAATTCCTTAGGTAATCCGTCAATACCTGGGATATTTTCCTCCTCCATAAGCATCAGTGCAGTCCATACTTCATCCTTTGTTAGAGGCATCTCTAGATGTTCTCATTGGGATACAAACAGGGATCTGGTCATTGGTTTAAAAAATTCATTAATCTCCATATTACGTTGGTTCTCCGGGATGTTACCTATTTCATATAAAAATAGGTTTTTAAAGAAATCTCTCGCAATCTTAGTGCATTCAGCCGTAGAAGTGGCCAGTTGATCATTTTGACGTTGGGGGTGAGCCAGATGAAGTATCCCTAATCCGGACGCCATGCCAACGATACTTCGTCTGGGATAGTAGGCGATCTTCTAGTTCATGAATTTCTTGAGCTACAGATTTATTATTTTCCTCATTTTCGTTGTCATCTTCTAAGGATTGTAGATATTGGATACGCTGGTATATTCTTGCTTCATTGGAATGTCGTTCGAGTGTTAGTAGCTTCGAATATTCATTGCATTCACCCTAGTCTTAGTTCTAAAACCGAATGTACTTGAACCTATGACCTTATACCTCTTGTTGTTACAATCTAGAAACACTTTGTCCGTTACTTCTTCTTTTTATATCATCTGATCCCTATGTTGCACGCCGGCCGTGGCCGGGGGGGTGTAGTCGGCCGAGTTCGGCCTCGGCCGACCAGCCGAGTTCGGTGCAACATTTTTTTTTGTGCTTTTTCACGTTGAAAATATATATATATATATATATAGGTAGGGTTGAAAAAGACCTACACGCCCATTTTTTTTTTTTCGTGTTGGACATTCCGCGCCGCGCGGAAAATAAAAAATGGAAAAAAAAAAAAAAAAAAAAAAAGTCCCGCAGTCCCACGGGGCCGTTTCGGCCCTGTTACTGGGTGTGGGAGGGCGGTGGGTCCAGGCCCGGGCCACGACAAATCTGTTGCTGTTTCAGATAAATGCTGCCATTTATCTGAAACGACAACAGTTGTTGCTGTTGCCGTTAGGCTGCCGCCCTGCCTGCTCGCA